ATACATACCTCCGCCACACAAAAGTGCACTGAATATCAAAGTGTTAATTATTACACTGAATTTGAGCTCAAAATTCATTTTGTGGTCAAAATTCTTGTCATTATTTGGTCATAAAATTGTAAATAATTATAAATATAAATGTAAAATAAACCGTATATTGAGATTGAAAGGGACAGTCTGTGGGCCACACCTGCCAGCACTGTCATACCTGTGCTAAACTACCCTTACCTGTGCTGCCTCAGCGAAAAACAAGTTTTTCCACTGCAGGTAAACTCACATTACAGGTGAGACCTATCCATAGCTTTTAACAGCAAAACTCATACAATATTCACGCCAACAGTGATGGATAGCCTGGCATTCAATTACATTCTAACTGTTATTGTAATCTAAACTTTGCTATCATTTGATCTCAAAATATACAGTAATTTGTTGAGAAAATGACAAATATTGTAGTTTAATAAATAGAAAACATGTTTTGTATTTTATAAAAGTTTTTTTATTGAATTTAAAATTGTTTGAATTCTATACAGAATCGAAGTTTGTTGTAACAAAAATGTTTTAACACATACTGTTTGTTCAATTTAATTAATTAACAGAAAAATATAAGCGAATAAAAGACTAAACTATTAATATGTGTTAAACAAACTATAATACAATTTGAATGCTTTAGACTTAAAAGATTATAATATTAATGGGATTATGGGATTATAATATAACATATGAGTGGGATTTGGAAAGACTTTCTATAAAATGAAATTTTTGTTATAATTTATAAAATAAAAGAATTGATTAATTAAATGAAAGACAATTCATTAATATTTAAGTTAATTAATTATAGGAAATGGATGTCATTATTATCATAATTATAATTCGCTTTCCTATAGTTTTTTTTGATATTCATATGAAAAGACAAGTGAAGTTTGCATAAAGTTTCGGTGAATTAGACAAACATCTTATGATTATTACAGTATTAACGTGTAATTGATTTATTAATATACATTTTGTAAAATTCAATCAGTTTTGTTAAACCAAATGTTCAATTAAGAAATGATAGACAAAAGTTATTTGCTTTGTTTTCACATAGTTTTTGTTCCCATATATCATATCTGAGTTATTATTAATGTCATGAGAATCTGGTAATCATATACATTGTGTCCACTCGTGAGTGTCTAACTATCTCTTAGGTTTGTCTTCAATTAGGTTTGTGTTTGAAAGCAAACTAAGAGGTTTTGGCACAATTGGAATCACACTCTACTGTAAGACTTTATATACACTTATTTTACAATTATTCATATTATTATTAACATAACCTTTGATTCTTATACAGTATTCCAGAGTTAAAGCAAACTAAGAGGTTTTGGCACAATTGGAATCACACTCTACTGTAAGACTTTATATACACTTATTTTACAATTATTCATATTATTATTAACATAACCTTTGATTCTTATACAGTATTCCAGAGTTGAATTAAGTTTCAAAAGTTTCTACTCATTTAATACCGAAGAGTATTACTGAGTTCATTATGAGCTATAATTTTGTTTTTTAGTAACATTTGATATGAATTTCAAGTATAACTTATTCAATATAATCTTATGGTCGAGAGAGACATAGAGCTCTCAATTCTCAGAGGTATTTGAGTTTTATTTTGCGAGAAAATTCAGTTAATTGACGGCAATTGGCGAGGAATTAACGACTAGAAAGCTAATGAAAAGCATAGTTACTATCAGTAGGTTGTGAGCAGATATGAGGGCTGAGCCGTCTTTGTTGCAGCCGTCGGTACCGCAGCAGTAGATGCAGTCGTCGTCATTGTTTTTGCACTGATCGGCAAATGTGATGAACACGAGCTTCGGGTCCCGCAAATGGCACGGGGCTAACGCACACTCCTTCTTGATGTGTAGGCCGTCCACCGCTATAACATACGGTACGGGTGCGGGCGTTCAGTCATTTTATATTTATAATGCTTTCAATTATTTATATGTTTGCAAATTACTGTATCAGTTATCAAAGGAATACTCTATACTTTAGATTCTGATTGTATTTTATTTGGTGTTCACTGCTGCTCTTATATTGTGTTTATGGTATTTTCATAAGTTATCAATTGTACGGTTTTACTCACGATTCTTGAATATTCTTGTCATACATTTATCGTAGGCCTGATTTGATGGACAGTCCTGTAAGAATTCATCGGTGCAAAGGCTGTTGTCATCCGTGTGACAAATATAGCATTTTAAAGATAACGTCATTCCCATCAACGCTATAATTAAACAAAAATACATTAGTTTTGAAAATATTTATATAAACTATGTATATTTATTAAATTCTCAATTGAATACTTCAAATGCCAATCAAGTCTGCAATTTCCATATATCTTTTCAACAACACTTTTCATATAATAATCATAAATTGTTCAATATATGATATTTATTGTAATAAATAAATTATTTCTAATTTAAACTAATTAACGAAAACTAAATTAATTATTAATTCACCATGATTATATGGAAAAATTATATGATAAATTTATGCAAAATATATTAAATTGATTTTGTAAATGATGAATTTATTGATTTGAATACTTACTCATTAACATTAAGATCACATAAGTTATGCTCAGATTAGCCAACAATACCATCGTTTAGATATATGCAAATCACCCAAAACTATAACAACAGCTATTAGAACATGAAATTAAATATGTTTCTCAACTAAACCATTATTCGCTTAAATCAATATATTTATTATAATAAATGTAAACAAATTTAAATGTAATTTACTCTTTGTTTATACGAATATCTAATTTCATTATAATATTGTTAATTGACTGAAAATAAACAAAACGTCGAGAGAAACATCGAAAACACTTGGTTTGCGAGCAAATGATTGCATCGGAATTAGTGGAAAGGGATGGAGAAGCCTATGATAGGAGACGCAGGGATGTAGTGTATGGAGAGCTGGATGTTGAGGGATGTGCTCTCCACGCATCGCGAACTTTACAATCGATAACACATACCATTAAAATATCTATACATTACTTCCTCAGACACTTGAGTCGTAAAAAAGAAAGTGAATATAAATGTATAGTCATTAGTGGTGGTGCTCCCACTCGTTGTGCCCGAGCTAATGTGCCCCTAAAAGCACCGCTATTCATAAGGTTTTTGAATATTTTATTCAAAACGTGACTAATTTTTATTAATCTTATATTTTTTCTTTAATCTTTTTATGCAATTCTTGTCTTTTTATAACCAAATTATGTTTAATAGTTTTCAGTGAACTGTGCTTTAATACAGAACACAGAATATTAATGCAATTCTTTAGAGAGAGAGAGAGAGAGAGAGAGAGAGAGAGAGAGAGAGACGTGTGTGAATGAGCGTACAGTAGATTTGAAATAAATTCAAATTTATGCATAAATTTAATATGAAATTTTATTATACACTAAGAATCTTACAAATCATACCAATTCTTGACTTAAAAAAACAAAATAAATTCGTAAATACTTTATTCAAATAGTCTTATATTATTCATTCAATTTGTTTAAACTTTAATGATATCAGATTTTTAAAAATCAAGAAATTAAATAACCAAGACTAAGTTAAAGATCATACATTATTTATTATAAAAATAAATTTTAAGATATTTACAAATATTTAATTATACATTACTTAAAAATTTAATTGTTACTACATTATTATAATAGCGTATAAAAATTGTCCTAATATTGTTATCAGGTTAAATTAAGGATATGGTTATTAAATGATACTTAAGTATTGTAATAAAAACTAATTGACATTAAAGTTTTCATTGATCAATCACATTACGGTAATTTATTTCATTGGAATGCATTTGTGATGCAAAAGTGGAATCAATTTAAATACTTATATCGGTAATAAAAAATAGGAAATAAAAAAATATTACCAGAATATAGATAACAAAACAATTGGTGTTAGAAAATAAACATTAAAATAGCGTTTAAAGTGGTAAATGAAGGCTAAAATGTGGTTCAGAACCAAACCAATCGATTCAAATGATCGGTTTTGCGTTTAGATGACTCCAAGAGTCCCATGTATTCAAAATCGGACACAGCGTTCAGAAAGCGGACGATATTTTCATCACTTTTACCTTCGGTTTTGCTTTTCTTTGCGGGACTCGTCGTCAATGGTGTGATTAGCTCTACAAACGTCTGGAACCAGTCATACATATTGACCACCGCTTGGCTGTCATTGTATATGTAGTGAAGTATATGAAAGTCAGTCTCCGATCGCTTCGCGTCAGTCAACGGAGTGGACAGACTTTTTTGGGTATCACTTCTCTGGTCCACAAATAGGCGCTGTTTTACCGAATCGATGGCGTCGAAGAAGATTACTTGACTCATAGGACGAGACATGGGATGTGTCGCAGCGTTTAGTATCTGTCCGATAGAGGCGATCGTCTCATCCCTCCAAACATCAAACTTGGACAACATTTTCGGCTTATTTAACGGTTTAATCGTTTCCTTCCACTGCGAACGGGTCTTGAGTTTCGCCAACTTATCCTTGAGCTCCAACACCTCAGCCTTTTCGACCACAACTTGCGGCTTAGGTGGCGACTCATCCACTAATCCCATCAATAGTTTGCGACGAGTTATCAATGTTTTGATCAATGGTTGCGGTGTCTCCGAGTTCACGGAATTGTCACTTAAACACATCTCTAATGAATACGTCCATTGACTTTGAGATAATTTACTCAAAACATCAATAATTGGACTGAAATCGTATGAAGCGTTTAATGCATTCACATAGAGATGTACTAAACCTTCATTACAAATATCTAGATTTCCGTCAATTATTCTCAAAACTAGTTTTAAGTTATCAACGAATTGGTTGTGAATTGACATTAACTTTGAAACCTCATGAGTAACACATTTCTTAATTTCACTGTCACTTAGTTTAGAATCAAATAATTTTGAATCTCTCAAGAGTTTCATCTCTTTTGACTCAATCCTTTTGATGTATTTCTTGAGATTAGACTCCGATTGACAGATGAATGACAAGTGGTTTGAGTAAAAATGGCTAAACAATGAGTATTTGATGATATGTTGGATGTTTTGAATAGAAAAATCAAACTTTTCAAACATCTTAAGCATAAAATCTAAGACATTTGGTCCCAATTTAAACCGAATGTCTGATTGTATAAACAGTTCTGTAATTATCTCATCGACCACTTGATGGCCGGACACGGATTGGAAGTTATTTACGAGGAGATAATCGGTGGCACTGGAGGGCAACAAATGTTGCAAAGAAGTTGTTTCGTTGGATTTACTCATAATCAGTATGAATGGTATGGTTTGCATGTATTCCTTAAGAATGAGGATCAATGTGGTGACCAACGAGTGGTCAAACGACTCGATCTCATCCAAAAACAAGACAATTGGCGGACAAAAGTTGTTGGTATTGATGGCCAACACGTTCTCTTCATATATCCTGAACAGTGAGCCGAATGTCATGCGTTTGATCTGATGTTCGTCGAGGTCTGCACTCTCGATGACTTCTGTGGTCAGAATGGAGTCACTGATGGCTTTGAAGATAAGACTCATATCTTTGGCGTTTTGCGAGCGATTCAAATACACGACAACTGATGTCAAGTCTTGGATGGTTTCCATCAGGAGATCGCAAATGAATTTGTGTTCACTTGAGTTCATGCCTTCATTGGGAGACAAAGGGATAAGAAATGCATTTTAATAACCATTTAATAGATAATGAAGACATGGATTACCGATTGATAGCAAAGCCGTGGGAATGAGTCCCACATTAGCCGTCAATTTGGTCTCAAAACTGGTTTCTCTCATTTGATTGGTTAAGCAGTTTTGGGACACAAATGTGAACAACGATTGCATCAGTGGTTCAAACATGCGATCTCTCACTCGTGTCATCTTATCATCAAATTTGGACATCAATTTCATCAGCAAATGGTTACGTCTCGAGTCAAATGCCGATGTCTTTGGGTTGGCCTTTGGGTTGGCATTTGATTTGTTCGGTGATGTCTTCGGTGTCTTAACTGGTGATCGACTCATTGACTTAACTGGTGAGCCATTCAACGTCTTAACCGGTGTCGACCTCAATGTCTTGAACGGGGATCGACGAGATGTCTTAATCGGTGATCCATTCACTGTCTTAGCCGGTGATCCGTTCAACGTCTTCGGGCGGAAGTATTGGCACACATTTGTCGAGAAATCTTCTGATGACATGATTGGTGACTAATTGTGGTGATAATTATCTGAAGATAACAATGAAAAGGCTTATGAATGTCACCACAAAAACACAATACAAATGACAAAAAGGGCGCAAAATGTTGATAACAAATGATTTGGTATTTAATGGACACGTGTTTCGCAATACAGTCATTACGTGCACACTATTGGCTGTGTTTTGCATCCCTTTGAACGCTATGTAAGCATAAAATGTTTGTCAATAACATTGTCGTAATGTATAGTGTCTTACGAGTGATGTTTAACATTGAGACTGCATTTAAAGGATAACACATTTGGCTTTGAATAGTGATGTGAATGGAAAGGCATTTGAAATGAACTTTGAATTTGAAGTTTGCAATTGAGAGTCAATTAAATGGCATTTAATGTGAATATAAAAGGCTGTGAATGTGTATGACTTGTCTGTATTGATGTGTTTGCCATTCACTCCATGCGTTCACCACAGATATACTGATCGCTAACTTAACGCACAATTGATTTGTCCGTCACTTCGTGTCCACCACTGTATCACTCATCCACTCGTGTGAAGACTTTTTTGTAGACAACAAATCAAAGTAAGACTTAAGTTATAGTTATATCTATTTATATGATTATATGATTTATATGTTGTACTTTTGGTGATAATTATATCGCTATAATGTAGTAATTCATAGCGTTATCACTATATTAGCTAACATTTGTTGATAACGTGTTTTAGTAGACGAGTGGTCCGATTGCAGATAATTACCACAATTTAAACCTCTTATTATACCTCTTATTATACATGTAATGATAGTTGAGATTAGTTTTATGTAAATATTTGATTACAATGAAAGTTGGGATTAATTTCAAGTGCTATTGTAAAGTGCATTCAATTTTCAGAGGCATTCATTCAATTAAGGATATGATTGACAATTTAAAATGAAATGTAAATTAATTTTTGGTTGTCATATATTTTTGTGACAAATATTTTCATATATTGAAATAATTGTTTTAACAATTTTGCGGAATTATATGATTTTTTTGGTGACATTTACGATGAGTTGTAAGGATTTGTCGATTGAATATTCAATACATGAATGTATGACACGATTGCCTTCACTATACAGTAGTAGAGGCCATGAATTTAAAGGCATATATATTCTGGACTATAATTCCGTACAACAATGGGTTAGGTATTGAGGGTTTTGTCATAAGTTTCACACAATTGAATCAAATGTATTTTTCCGTAAGGATATAAAGTAGATAAACTTATAACTGACCCCTCATACCATTGCTAACTTAGTACCGCAAACCCCATGAATTACTTGTCCTACACGTGAAATATATGTGTAAAATGTGTGAACCCTTTGCTCAATAGTAATGCAATTGAAGAGATTGGCATTGATTTGATAATTAGAAAGTAATAATTATTAAAAGCAGCAATTGTTGGATTGTTTTGTACCCGTAATGTCCCAAATAAGTGCAATCATTAAAGTGATGGCAAATGTGAATCAATAGTTGAGTGCAATTTGCCATTAATATAGCACTGCATTCATCGGTGCCATGAGTTTAACCACAAATTGTTTGTCTAATCTATTGATGATTTATCCTTGAATTCAGTTTTCCATTAACTCCTATAAACCCAATGCTTTAGCAAACAGTTTGAAGTGAAACACAATTTATATACACTTATTATGAACTCGTCTTTTATGACATCTGCACCAATGGTTAGTACTTTTTGACGATGATATCTGTTTTAAAATAACTTTTGAGTTAATTATAATCGTATGGAAACAGATTTTCATTTAAATAGACTTTAATATAGTGCAATTCGTAACATTTGTAATATTAATATTGCACTTAAAGTACACTTAAAATCTCGCTTTCCATACAATTCTCAGTTTCTTATTATATAAGATTTTTTATTGATAGCGAGAATATTTCTCGATTTTCTAGTTTTTATGTTAAATAAAATGTAAAAATAAATATATTTTTCAAGTTATTTGCGTTTTACTGTTAGATAATCGTTAAAATGATTTTAATTTTAGGATCATTTTGTCAATAAATTAGCAAAATGTACATACGTTTTATAATGAATTATATTTAGTAATTATTGAAATGATTACCATTTATGATCATTTAATATACGAATCTTTTATTAAAGTTTTATTGAATTTATTTGAATTAAACATTTGTGACAAATGCTATAATACTCTGATATTGATTACAAGGCTGTGTTTGATTGAGAACAAGAGTACATTTAGTATGAGGTCTTA